TCTCAGTCATAGCCCCCGAGTTTGAATTCCGAATTCCGCGCCTGCAGCTAGGAATTCTCTCCTCCCAGGGAATCACAAGCTATCCACCCTCTACGCTATCAGTCGAAACGCTCACTATTATATGATGCTCTGTACAGAAGAGCCAGAGTGTTGCTTGAAAAAGGCTGCTCCGGGGTCAGCCGGAAAAGACCATCGCGTCCGGCGTGGCACATAAAATTCCTGCATGCATGTTCCGAGATTCCATGAAGTCAGTCGCGGAAGATCTCCAACCAATAGGTGCAAACATACATATTTCCATTCCCGAGTGGATTACATCATCACAGGAAACGTTACCCTTCTTGATAAGATGGGTCACGTCTCACACAGCAATATATATCAGCTTGATCATAACGAAACTCTGAAGAAATTCCTGTCTCCGAGATAAGTGGAGGAAAGTCGCGGTGCTTTCCTATTCAAATTGTATCGATGGCGCAGGCTGCGGAAAATAGCGTATTTTTCTTCCATCGAATTCGCGAGGTTCTGCGCCAACACGGGCTTGGGGTTTCGCCAAACGGGTTCCGATTCCGTGAAGTGGATCTCACGGTTTTTCCTCATTGCACAACGAGTTCCTTCGCGGGACGAAACTGACGTTTCCGTCGGCTCCTCTCAGCTGCGGAGAGAATGCGTCAGTTTCTCCCGGAGACCTTGCGGCTTCATGACATTGTATGAGGCCATGCACACGGGACGCGGGATTAGTGGGTACATCGTATTCAAGTTGCTTTACGTGCTCACGTTCTTATCGTACCTCGTCCCACATAGGGGCCCTTCGATCGAGGCAATGCACCCTCACAAATGGAAAGGCGATCATGCCGTGTAAATAAGAATTTTCAATTCCACGGGCGTTCGAGGAGTGAAATCGGTACTCTGCAATCGATAGTCCAATCGGCAATGTAGGCGGGCACCGTCTAGTCCAGCAGTACGCGTTAGGTCAATATGTATTTTTCCCACTCGACCCGGTTTCACCATCAACCACATGATTGCGAGATAAAGAATACCTCCTCGGCTTTTTCTGAAGACGCACTGCGATCAGGTACGGACGATGTCTTCACGTCCTTCCGCAGCCGTGACTGAGAGTGATCGACGCGCAGTGTCCCAGACCTGAGGTGACCCAATCACGAGGGCTCGAATCGAATGAGTATAAATATAGATTCTTGCATGCCGCACCAGATAACGATGCTCCGGGTTTTGCGGAGTTGAGGCCTCGATGCCGCTCGCGCCGCAATCAGTTCGATTACCCGAGGCCGAATATTCGAGCGAGGGATATTCCTACCCGCTGGCCCGTCTGACGCCTCTATTGCCAGGTTTCCTCGTTGAGTCGAATCCTTCCAGAGAAAGACGCGTGTCGCTTCCGGATCAATAATTACTCACCTGTATGATGCCATATGCTGTAATGAAACATGGGTTACTGCACTAGGGGCCCCCTCGCACCACATCCCAGATTTCTCGCATTATCTTTTTGTAGTCGGCGCCCGTATCGCGGCGCGGCGTCTCTATATTCGTTAAAAACACCTTTTGCGTCATCGGAAGCCGTCCTTTCCAGGCGGCACCAGGGGCTGAACAGGCCGTCTCACTATTGCTCAACTCTGGCTCAACCTCTTTCCGTCTCACAGCCATATACTTCTCAAGCTTCCCGAACTCACTGACTTCCTTCCTAGACTGATCCCTTTAACTGTCACCCCCGTTGCCCTGTAGGTGAGCGTCGACCTCCTCTCCTCCTCATCCGGTACGCAGCGTCTTCACGCCCGCATGCTGGAGTTGACTCCTGTCCCCCAGCACCGTTCCCTAACCCCATTTTCGCCCCGCCTTAGAATGCTGTTTAGACCTTCCATGGTTGTCCGAGGACCGATCGCTGATGAGTAGAGTTGCAATATGAGAGGACACGTCCTTTTTTGTCCGCTTTGACCGCTTTTCCGGGGCTTTCTCTAGAATATCCGCTTTCCGGAATTTTCGAGAAAATATCGCTAAATTTGATTAAAAAAATTGAATTTCTGCGCTGTTTTTTCGCCGAGAGCACCCAGGTCTCGGCTGCACATGCGTGAGCCAGAGGCGCCGGGGGCTGGGTCGGGAATTTTCTTCTCAGCAAATTGTCTGTGAACGATCGTTAGGGCATCCAAGTTCAGTCGATTGTCGCTTATTAGGAAAATGGTTGGAGAGTCGAATCAACTCCATGGAAAGGGCAAAAAACATGGAATAGAGTGTCCGAGTTTGATGTCCGCTTTCCGTCCCGATGTCCGCGCGGACATTATCCTTTTTTCGAGGAATAAAGGTCCTCTCATATCGCCACTTCACTGATGAGGGATACGGCCTCGATTCTGCACTGTCCCGGATTTTTCTGATCACCTCCCTGTTACGCTTTCGATCGCCCCATATAGTGCAGACCTACCGAAGCCTCCTTCCCAGGGTATGCGTAGGATCTTCTGCTCGGCTATTTGCTCCCGTAGCATTCCAGTCGGCTCTCATGTCCCGCAACTGGAGTCGGGTCTATGCTCCCTCAGATATGGATTCCGCGTTTGAGATATGTAATCTCCAACATTCTCTTTTTTGCATACGATTCATGTTTCCCGCCAGTGCAGTTCACGTTTCGCCGTGATCACTCCACATGGTCCAAAGGCTCCCTGAGAGCCTCACGTCAGCGCTCGCACGTCATCGGGCGTCGCTTCTTCGCGCAGAGGGATAAATGATTGTTCTCCTTCAGTCCGAAAAAGTGTGGTCGTCTCATCTCTCTCCCTTGCCCGCGCGGAGCATACGCCAAATCTTGTTCGGAGGTTTGGTGGTATCGGAAAAAATAAGGGCAATTCATCAATCTCTCTTGTGGACGGTCGGCGTCTGCTGAGAAGACCCGGGCTTTCATGGGTTCCACGGATTATAATGTCCGCACATTCAATGTCTTTGCTAATTATTTTTCGACTGGTGGTATTGCCACCTCCACAAAATGCCCACCCGCCCTCGCTTCCTACATCGCCCTACATTCTGTGATCTCGGAAGCTCGTGTCGTCCATCGCCCATCTTACAGATTCAGATGTATAGACCCTTTGTCCCTCCCACGTCATGCATCGCTACGCAAGATACTTGTCCACAGTTCTCTCCAAAATACTTCAACGTTCGCGCTCTCCATACCTATCGCGTTCATCTTCGACCGCTTCCTTAGCTCTGACCGATTCACGACTCAAGCGACTGGCGGTTGTGCACGGGGACCTCACGTCGAATAAGTTCTCGGTTAGCTGTTGTGTGCCGCAGGGCTCGGTTCTGGGTCCATTCCTGCTTTTCGTTCGCCAATCCCAATTCCCTCTCAATATGGGCAAATGAGCTGTCCTCTGAGCGTAGGGCTGTGTCTTCTGCGGATGACACAACTCTGCTGTTCAACTTCAACTCAAGCTATGCCCTTGTGAGTCCGAGCAACTCATCTCTTTGCTCGATGGGGTTTCCTCCATGTATTGCTGTCTGCGCCTTACTGTGTGCGCGTCCAAGACAAAGACGCTTTGGTTCAGGCGCTGTCGCTCTGGGACCAGCTGGGAGCCAGGCCCCGTTGTACTCAACGGAGCCCCCCTCTCGACCTCTGGCAGATGCCTCGGCATTGAATTGTATATCTCCTTGCGGCGTGTTCCGTACATCCAGGCTCTCATCCAAGCTCCAGTCGGACGTTTCCTGTCTCCACCGCCTCCGACGGCTCGGTGAGGTCCTGATAACTTCCCCCCAACTTTCATCAATGGCCGCATACCCCACTATATTTGAACGTGGGGTTAAGATGAATGGTGCTTCCCTCATTACTCATTACTTACAAGTTGCCCAAAACAACGGAATCAGAGCCATCCTAGGTCTCACTCGTCCCGCTCTCCAATCTCACCTCTGTACAATAGCTTTTGTCTCTTCCGAGTAAGCCAGCTCTATCGGTACCTTGTCGCCTGCTCGGCGTTCCGTGCTGTTTACGCTACTCTCCTCCCGTTTCTCTACTGTGCATATTAGCTTGTTGCATCCGCTCTCACGTTTCGGAATTCTGTCCTTCGGACCCTGAAAGTCTCCTTCGTATGCCCTGGTTCTTCGCACCCGCTCCAGCTCACGACGGTCTAGAATGGTCATCCGGATCTTCGTGATGCTCTCACTTATTTCTCCCTATTCTCAGCGCACGCCCAAAAGCCTTTGCTCACACTAGAAGATATGCGGCCTAACGCTTGCGAGTACCACACGAAGATATCATATTGAGTAAATGAATAAAACTGTAGTAGTCAGAATAGCAGATGGCATCGCACCTCTCGAGACAGCATGGCTTAGTTTCCAAACCGTTCCGATGCGGACCCTTGCTTCCGTGTGGCTGCGTATGGTCATTCAGTTCGTCTGACTGAGACCATACAACTGATCTTAACTCCCTAACGAAAAAAACGACATCTGCAATCCCAGTCGAAGAGACGACAAATTGGTCTTGAATGAGCAGCCGGTATCGGCGACATATTCCTCTTTTTATCATTGCACACGAGTACGTAAACTAACCTCAGAAATTTACACACTGATTGCAAAACTAGGGACTAGGTGAACCCAGGAGTTGCATTTGTCATACATGTAACGTAACCGAACTTTAATTAACTTAGGTTTTTTCTACAACGTGTTTGGGCTTCAGGTTCAAAGGTGCGTCCCGTCTCGACAGAAAAAATCAGAGCTTCCCTATGTCACCTTTTTGGTGAAAGACTCGATCCTGAGATTCGTGGGATTCGATATTGAGCTCGGTTCCTATACATGGATTACGATGACGGGATCGCGTGCTTTCGGGTCACGTGGTGCTTCGACAAGTTGAGGCAATAGTATTACACAATGAGCCACACTCTACCGAAGACATGGTGACCATGCTAGATCCGAAGGAATGAAAAGCTTCGTCACGGAATCCTATAGACGGATTCCGGTGTCAAACGGAGTAGGCCGACCCGACGAGTCAAAGAAGAGACTAACTCGATCCAAAATAAATTTTTCTCGGCCCTCGATTTGGGCCTGTGTTTCTCTGCTCGATCACTCAATAAATTCGTGTTTGTTATCGGGGCTGAATTCCGATTAAGACTCGGATGGTAATACGTTTCATTCTCCGCTAGATTTGTACAGCAGCACTCAATTCAAGTCCCATCGACTTTTCTTTGCCCGTGGTTGGAGTTCGCAAACATCGAGATCATCTGCGGGAAATTTGCTACTGCGGCTAGTTGCCACTTCACACGAATCCTTCCTGAGCATGCTTCGCACTTCCACCAGTTGTTTCTCCACTTCTGCGACTCTCCCCGTCAGTTTTTCTATCACGACGTTCGAAACGTTCAGTCGCTCGCTGATTTCCTGTAGTTTCTTATCTGCGAATCGATCGAAAACTTCAGGTTAATTTTCTGCGAATCAGCGTTACGTAAGATCATCTACTCGCGGGCTGAGTAGATTCACATCGCGAATTCGAAATTTCGCCATCTCATGGTCGTTGCGGGAAAGGAAAGAAATGATAGCAGACGAAAAGCTAAAGCCTACCTTTCTCCTTAATCCGCTTCTCTAATTCCTTCGTTTTACTCTCCAATTTCGCAACTTTCCGACTGTGATCGGCAATGGTCTGATATACGGAGCCAGTATAATGCGGCGCGAGATTGCTCATGGATGCAATCCGGAAACCGGGTCTGTATCCCATCACGGTATCATTAGCTTCAACGATAGCCAAGTTCGCAGCAGCTAACAGAGGGTCCGAAAGTCCTCCCGAGAGACGATCTGTGGGTCGTACGAAGGTAGAGATTAAGCAGGATAAAGACCGCGAGCGTTTCTCAGGAGCCTCACCTTTCCATCGAATCTCTCAGGGAGCGTGAAGCTCGATCTGAACTCACCGGTTATTTTTGCTCTGAGCCGAGGTTGAATGCATTCATCAAAATGCTCCATGGCCATCGATGAGATATCGCGGAGTTCTTGCAATACCTCGTGTGGTCTAGGAGGATCCTTCGGGAGCGGGAGTAACTTTAGTGCGGGCGAACCCCATGCATTGCACGCGCGTCGCGGCGTCATATGAGCCGCCAGGGGGAATCAATCCAGCCATAGTACTTTCAGCATAGGGGGATGGAGTTTTAGATGAGAATCAAACGTACTTGGTCCGTATTGACTAGTTTTATTATGCGCCTGACTTCATCGATTACACGACCCGGAATGAAGCAACACAAGTTCTGTTCAATGAATTTCCCGTACGTCATACTGAGGAGACTCAGACGCGTTTCGATAGCCATCAAAATGTCACCGTGCCTCGCCAAACGATGTGTCCTGGAAATTTGAGTCGATATTTAGCCGCTAATGGGAACGATTCATTCCGAATCACATGAGAAGGCTGCTCCGTTCGATTTTCGTGATGCTTCGTGAGTCTCAACTGCTGACTATGCGAAGTCATCTACCTTCGTTCACTCTCCCTCCGAGGTAGTTGTGATTTGACTTTCTTCAATGAGTCACTGTGGAATTTCTCCATTTTGTAATAGCCCTCGTTGAGCATGCTTTTGCAAATATCATCGAATGATTTACAGACCTGTAACAGGAAAGATATATCCTTATAGGAGACAATATTGGATGTTGAAGGAGGACCTACTCAAGGCACTCGCTGACGCAAGCCCGTGAGGATGAGACGCCGAGGCTGAGGGGTGGAATAAACCCTGATTCTGTTTCATCCGGCAGGATAGCCCAACGGCAGGATCAGACTCGTGATTCACTTGAGAGGATGGTGATGCCGAATCATCGCCGAGCCCAGCCCGAATTAGCTTGCCCCGGTCACGGTGTCTATCTAAAAGGAATCTCGATATTCAGTTTCAGCAAATCAAGACGGCAATCCGCGGCATACTGGGGAAGGCCTGGCGGACCGAGATCAAGAGTGACAGAGTTATTAGATTTCCTCTCCGGGGAGCATCCGATATGTCCCGCTCACAGAGAATTATCCTAGAATCCGAATTTCGGTTCAGTCCCTGCCGACAAGGAGTCGGGTTTCCCACCCGGCCAGCAGACAGCTAGCAAAGACCCGTAACTCAGTCAAGGCTCCTGTTCCAAAGACGATGAATTACCCGGTGTCTCGAGAAGACGGGATGACTAACGAGGTTCCATGTCGAATGTGTGGGAATCCACCGATCATTGAGCCACGGGATCCCTGTAGTGGGGAACGGGGCGAGGGTTTCTGAACAAGATCCGTTATCCGTTCAAGCTGCTGAGGAATGAGGTCAACGCATGGAATGTGTGATCCCGCTTCACGAACAAACCCGCTGCTGAACAATGATTGGATTCAGAACGGTCTCAGCGACCGCTTCCCGACGGAGGAGAAGTACCTAAACCCCAGCATCCGTCGTCTCTCCCGAGAGGGATCTCCTCCGGCCAATCGGATGACTAATCAGAGCCATTTTGTGATGGCTTCTCGATTCGCATTCTCGACGAAAACATCCTTCGAAACTCTCTTCTTTACCTCCACCATCAGAGACCAGGATGTCAGATCTTCGGCCGACGGATCTGGGCTGAGCTCTGAGTTTTCGGCCGCGGAAGCTTCAAGAATACCAGGGGAATACTTACGGGACGCAGTTGTGCGATCTCATCGTAGTTCAGAAATTCGAAGATGTACACAATTATTTCTCTGGGCAGTTTCGAGAATGGCTGACCCCCCGTGTTGACGGAGTAAGCGAGAGAGCTTGAGCCCGGGCTCTCAATAGACTCGCTTCCGCTTGCGGCACTTTTACTGTTACAAGTACAAGGTCTGGCGCTGTCGTTCATCAAAAGTTTTCTGGTGATGCCGCAAGGACAGCTGCTGGAGCCCCTATGGCTGCCGTCTGACCGGAGCTCGGTATGCTCCATTCCTGGATCTTGATCCAAGAACACTACGACGCACCACTATAGTCAGATACACTGATTATTCGAATAGAAACTTTTTATTCCGAGGCACTAATTCCCAGATCGAGTATATCGGGTTAGCTGGTGATCTGCTGCTCTCATATGAGAGTAGTGACGGCTAGATTCAGTAGGCGACCACAGCTTCTGCTGCTCATTCACTGCTTCAAGAGCAGACATCGGGCTAGGCTCGGACGGTTTCACGATGGGACGCCGTGCCTTTTCGACGATTTAGGGTTTGCTCCTCACACCGCCCTATCGACGTTCTGTTCAGTCCGTGAGGGGCGAACGAGCATTACGGACAGGAGAGTTCGTCAGAGGCGAACGCTGCTTTCCGCGAGACTCGCGGAATTGATGTCGATGATCTTTCGCGGAAGTTCAAACGCGGCCGGGCTGGCGCCTCATCTCTCCGAGGTCCGACTTCCCGATCCCCCAGACCCGGTCTTCGGATCAGCGGCGGATTCAGGGGGGGCGTGCCTCCCCAAGAATCTTCGGTCCCTGTACAAAAGCATGGGCCACGAGGTGGCGCGTCATCCTCCGGGAGCTCTCGGTAGGGGGAGCAGCGCCTTGGTGTCACACATGTAGCTCAGCCATTACAACTACGAGGCGCGTAAGAGGGACGCAATTTATCGTTGACGAGAGTCATGGATAAATACTTCGACGGGACCGACGCGGGAGGGTCAGAAAAAATAAATATTAATATCTCAAATTTCCGCGCATATCCAACCTCTCCATTGCAATGCAAGATAAGTTTTCCTCCAACCTCAAGTCTATGAGGTGGAGAAGGTCAGAGAATGAGGGCAGATCTCCTCATTAATCGGGAAGCTTCCCGAGCACCGATCCCTTCATCAATGTCCCTGGTGAATTGCGACGAACCCAGTGACGGAAAAGCTCGAATAGTCGTTCGACCAACTTTCAGATGGGATCAAGCTCCCACGCATTTGGTACGACAATCCAAGAACTTGAGGGTCCTCTAGAACAAATGGGAGCTCGAGGGAGAGCTTTTCCCTTGATCCTCGCCGGAGTTTCGCCATTGTGATGATCAGCTACCTCAGTGAATAATGATCCGACATGATGCAATGAGCCAATCAGAAGTACATCCAGAACTCCGACAAAAAACCGTGCTGGGAACGACGCCGGCGCCGCGTCGCCGCGTGCTTGGCTGCTGCGTTTCAAGAGCATCGTGGAAGGGTCTACGGTGTCGGACTCTGTCTACGGAGGTTACATCCTCGCTCCGTACCGCATCGATTCAGAAGACGGAGAGAAGAAACAGGTTGCAAAGAGGGAGACTGAATTGTTTTTGGAAGTGATGGATCAAACGAATTTTGCATGAGATGCTCCAGCGGCCAAACGACAAATATATACACTGAATCTTCCTTCTTGAGACCCGGAGAGAGCATTTTCAGCTTCGCGGAAAATCCTCCTGCGACGGACGTCGTCTTCCGACCTACGACGGTTCATCGCGCATCAATTGATGACATGTGTCAAGGCTCGAACTGTAATTCCGGCCTTGTCCCGTTTGACACGGAGTCCGTTCCAACCTGGGATCTCTGTCACAGAAAACGAGAGACTAAACTTTGGATCAGCATGCGAATACCTCAGTTCCGTCGATCCCCGAGATCATAGATTGTGTTTGTCTTATTCGACCGACCTCAAGCAGCAGCCTACTGAGACGAACCAACGCGAATCGCTGATCCTCGATACGGAGATTGAGCGGCGTGATATAATTTTCTGAAATCAAGGAGAGAGAGGTGAGTCGGGGAATGCTACGGAAAGACTCTGGGAAAGAGTCTAAACACGGTCGGGAGTCACTTTGCCTCGGGATACATCGCCCACCGCTTGATTGGGCTGCTCATTCCTCTTCCTTCTAAAGGGGCATGCCTCCCATTTCGTGAACAATATTGTCTGTATCAGGATCGGCGCCTTAGAAGTTGATGTGTGAAACGCACCTTACGCAATTGGAGCTTCTCATCTCGAAGGCGAAGCAGCTCAAGCAGGGGGGATTATTGGCCCAGACCCTCAAATCTTTCGAAGCCCCCGTTAAAAATTATATTTTTGGAACGGAACGAACAATGCTCCGTGCTTTGCCTCTCGCAGGGTCCTCAGGGTTGACTCAACACCGAGTATGTGGAGAGATGCTCGCTAAGCACAAGACGAGACCTCACGGGCCTCGTTTCTGACGACCCTGCATCTGATGTGCCGTCTCCAACGGCGTTCTAATTTTCAGACCAGCGATGTAGAAGTAATCGTTTCTCCTTGGAGGGAAAATGACCGAGGACGAATACGAACTGTGCTTCTCTCCAGTCTCCTGCACACGATACGATGAATCGTCGAAGTGAACATTCAAGGTGATGATCATCCTCCATCTCGCGGGAGACCGATTGGGAGAGGACTTTTGACCTTCATCTCGAGTCCCGAGGAGAAGCATGGATCGAGTTCTCCGATAGCTGAACGCACCATTCATTCCTCTGCTTGGAAGCGAAGGATTAGGGATATCTTGCTGACAAAACGAGGGTGATCCGTGCTGTGGTCTTGACAGAATTATTCAAGGTTACCCGACGACAGGCATCCAAATGAATCTGTGCATACGATTCTCAGTGCATCCGCGCACGAGCTATGAACAGAGGTGACGGAAAGCAGGCCCATGAAGTTTCCCATCAGGTCTGAAGTGCTTTCCTCATCCGTCTTTGCGTATTTCAGGCTCTTTCGCTCTCTCGACTCTCAGACACTATAAGTTGCTTTCGACACGAGCACAAATGGAAAATAGAATAATACGTGAGCAAGGCAGAAACATGTTCGCCCATGGAACCATCATGCTCTCCCGAGAAACGGATTCGAGAGTAGCCAGCGGTGAACCCAACAGGTGTCACGAATGGATTGCCTCCCGCGAGGCAATCCATGAGGGGGATTGAAACAGGAACCGTTGCGCGGCCGGACCCTCATGCTCGAGTGTTGTTCAGTGGACAGTCTGTGATGGAGCTGTCGTGGCGCGAAGTCTTGGAGTGAAGTCTTCGGATGACCGATGCGCTATAGACGCAAAGCGCTCGAGGTGCGAAACGCGCAACGATCGCGTCGGTGGTTCTCAGATCGTCGCCGACCTCCACCACCTGAATCGAGATCACTCGTTCGAGGATTAGGGAACTTCTCCGAGCCAGGTCAAGGATATTTGGAGAAAAACGTGGATATCGCGCTCTAGCTGAGAGAAGTCTCGGAGCTCAGCTACCGAATGTTCGGAAATCGCTTGAAAACCCTACGATCCTCACAGATCTTCCAGCCTTCCTGATGAGAAAACCTCAACGGAGGCTGCCGTCCGATAGATGGTCCCACTTCCAGTCCTCTACGTCCAGGAGGAATCGCAGAGACAAAAAAAAAGATCCCATCTCAGACGATTCGTCTCAGCAGGTGCCCTGACGCGTCTGAATCCTGAGAATGCAGCCTTGGGATATCACAGAGACCCAGAAGCGCTTTCTCCCTCCATTTCATTCCACCGGGCTCACTATGTAGGCACATGCCGAGATTCTATCCTTCTCGAATGATTAGAAATTAGAATTGATTCGACCCCGAAGCAGCTTCAAAACCACGATGGGGCCAAGCAGATGATTGTCAACTTTCCGCACAAGGAGTCTAGAAGTCGTCGATTTACAATTAGATGCACATCACACTCCAAGCTGTGAACCGAAGCCGAAAACCGAAAACACATACGGAATCGACCTCGATCCGATAGCAATGACCAGGAATTAATCGGACACGGCATCAACGATGACATTGCAGCCCAAAATGATCGCTCATATTCCCCGCATCTCGCTATCACTCCAGAGGAGGCGATTCTCATCTCTTCAGAACCAGGGAATCGAGCCGGAGCTTCACTGTCTGACGGGAATCCGATCCGCGGGAATCCTTGCGAAATGTGCCTGAACATTCTACAAACCATCGTCAGTCTCCACCGGAGGAAGGGAGGTACTCAAACGCCTAACGGATATCGGATGCTCATGGCTCGCGAGCTCGCTGCTGATCGATAATTCAGCAAGGGGAATCTGTAGAATGACGAACTATACATTATGTAAGTACATATTCTCGGGGAGCCCTCAAACCTTACATGTTTGCAAGTAAGTTTCGGTGAACCACAAGGATTTCAAGCGTTTTCTCCCCGTATCCCCGGGTTCTATGATGATCGAAGGGATCTTTTCTCCCAAATCCACGCCAGACTGAAGCGACTTATCATCGTATTCTGGGACCAGGAGAAATTATTACGGCTGATGGGATAACCCGGAAGCCCAGCGAGTTCTCCGGCTAGGAGCGAAGCGAGCCGGAAGGAGCAGAACATTGAAGCTACGGTCGAACGAGAGAGTCGGCGGGCGCTGATGGTGATGACTATCAGGATGATGATGACGGCGGCGGCGGCAACGACGACGAGGAGATTCGTTTAATCTTTCTCCATATTCCTGCCGGGATCGTTGCTCCGGCGGTGGCGCCCCACTAGTCTTCATTGTCTTTTTTCCGGGTTTCAGCAGCAGCTGCTCCCGCGCAGGCAGGGGTTGCGTCTGCAGTTGGTTGTTGTTGTCGTGGAACCGGTGAGAGCGCGCGCGGCCGAGCAGCAGCAGTGGCAGCAGCGGCCAGCGAGCTTGCCCTGATTGGTTCGAGTGCGGTCGGAGAGAAGTTTGCCGATTGGTTGCGAGAGCGGCCTCGATCCACGGAGGCGGCGCATGACTCTTTCCTAGGCGGTGGCTGTGCTCGAGGGGTGGAAGATGACTGCGGCGGCAGCGGCGGCAGCGACGGCGGCGGCTACCATCACCACGACCACCAACCAGCACTACTAGCACGACCGACCAACAATAAGAGGAAAAATAAACTTTTTGTCATCCTATCGTTATTATTATAGTAGTCTGTACACTCGAAACTAGGCCCTGGCTCGAGCCGACGGCCCGTGTGCCCGCCCGCCCGCCTGCCTGCCTGTCTGCTCGTCCGTCCGTTCGTTCGCTCGTCTGTTCTCCTGTTCGTCCGTCCGGTGGTTCGCCCGGCAACCTCTGTGCCTGTCTGCCTTCGTCTTGCAAGAGAGACAGCGAACCGGTTCGAGAGTGTTTCGTCTCGGTGCCGTGAGCGCTGTCCTTCGTTCGGCTGCCATCGCCGCTGCTATTGCGCTAGACTCTCGATTCGAAGACAGCGAAGCGTACGTCGACACCATCTGTGACAACAACCGCCACCGACATCCACAGTCGGGAAACGACGGGACGTGAACGAGAAAGCGATTCCCCGTGAGTACCCATCACAGCTTTCCAACGTCGATGGTCGACCGATTCTTTGATTCTCCCTGAGAGCGATCTTTGAGAGTCTCTCGTTTCCGAAAAACTTCGACCTGAGACTGTGCTCAGAGGAGCTCTTCAAAGTGCCGAACTCGCGACGGACGGAGTGAGTGAGTGTTTGCGCGCTCTACATGTAGGTCCTCTCGCCGTTGAGCGTTGCCTTCCACCGAGTGTACTTGATTGGAAACGATCATGTTGCATCTCGATCCGGTGTGAGCGATACCTCCGGCCGGTCGAACCGTGCGAACCTCGTATCGACCGTTTCGGATCGACAGAAGGATTCTAACCGGGAAAGGACAGTTCAGCGGCATACTGGTTAGTCTTTCTTCCCGTGCTCGTGGAAATGGCATCGTCGACTTTGATGGAAGCCGGCGGTGAACTCGCGCCTAGCGGCAGTGCGTTTCGACTCGTCACACCTTTGAGACTGCCATGCGTGTCCCCTCCACATCCTCCGTCAGAGCAGCAGACGCAACATCAGCGACGTTCCCAGCTTCAGCAACACCAGAGGCAACAGCAGCAACAACAAAGAACTCAGCAACGAACACCATCCCAACATCAATTGCTACGGGACAAAGAACAAAATCGTCAAAACACAGGTAGGTGACCGTGTCAGAGCAACTCCACGAAATTCCTCACTGCCGATACTCGACTTCGCCCGGCCTCCTCTCCTACGATGGTTATGGAGTCGAACTATCGCCCAAAAGACATCCCACAATGAAGCTCGAGAAAAATTAGAAGTACATCGGAGATGGGATGATTGATGAATCTGGCGTCAAATGAACAACTATCCAAATTGAGCCCTCCGATTGGTGGTCGCTAGTGATTGTTTAGCCCTCAAATTGGGAGAAGAAACATGAGCTGAAAGAGCCGAGGAGACGAGCGGAAAGAGTTCGACTCGATCTCTATAACTCTTTTTGTGATTGGATGCACGCAGCCGTCGTCCGAACAACTGCGCGTGCGACCGAGCGAGCAGCCGACCGATTGCTCGTTTGGCTCTAAACACAAGTCAATTCCTTTGCCAATTGACGGATTGCTAATCATCCAACACGATGATGCTCGGAAAGACAGAACGAATAGAGATACTCGCTCCGGTATCAGATATACATATCTATCAGAAAGAATGATTCATGGGTTGAACTTTTTCATCGACGAATGTTCGGTCCCTCCCGATAATTTCGAGCCAGAAATCCTCACCGACTTCGGGCGAATTTCATGAGCAAAAGGGATCGATACCTAGTGTTCCATCCGGAACCCGAATCGAGAACGACCAAGGCTGCTCCGAAAGGGAATCCATTTTTGGCGGAATTCGCGCTGGGAGGATTTGGCTCATTTCAGGGAAAAATCTCCCGAGGCCTCTCCTCCTTGTAGAATAGAGCGCCCGTTGCTTGGTCTTCCGTTCGTGTCCGCGAGCCAGGTCATAGTTCAAATTGTGGATAGTTGCGTCGACAAGCGAGCGATCGTATTTGTTCTCATTGAGTACATTGTCGGCATCACCATCGAAGCCGCAACAGACGCCGATAGATGCATGCCTATTGAGTTTATCGTTATTGGGCTCGCATGGCTGAACCCGGAGGGCACCTGTGACCCTTATGATTCGCAGTGAACAACTTCAGCGACAAGCAGCCAGCTCGCCCGCCCGCGCGCCCGCCTGTCCGCTAGCCAGTCAGTCAGCCTGCCGTGCAACCAGCTACGCTCCACAGATTACATTTCTCCTCTGACTAAGCGGCAGCGTACCCCGTACTGATCTAATCGCATGCTACGACGACGACAGTGTTCATTGACTGTTATTGATACTTGATACCAAAGGCAACGTCGGCGATCAAGATGTCGTTCCGGTCTCTCCCTCCACGCTGGCTCCCACTCTCTCGGATATCGAAATTTCGTCGTATCCCGATCTGGGGAAGGGCTCCGCTTATCCGTATCTGCGGCGCGGCGTCGCTCACCGATCGAGATGAGAAAACGAAGTTTATGTCGCTATAGGAGGATCGAAAAGGACTGAAACGACTGCGCGTTGCGCCCCAAGTTGACCACACCAATGGCGGCTCGGATGTGGAGATCGAAAACGACTGGAAAAAAAATTCCTTGAATCCAAAGGACACCTCCTCGCACAAAAATCGAGTACGGATCGATGCTCCATTGTTTCGGGTCAGGTGGAACGATTTGAACCGCAGAGAATGTAGCGAGCAGTGCGTGCCTCGGAGCCGCGCCCGCATGGTCGACTCGAGTGTCAAACCGTTTCTTTACCGGCTTCGATTTTTCAATCACTTTCAACTTGTCAGATATTCTAGCACTATCTACCGTGACAAGTAGTCGGTCGGTAGATCGGTTAGTTTGCTTGCTCGCCTTTTATTTCCGAGAGTTGCCAATATCGGGGGTAGCGCGTCGTCGTCGTCAGCGTTCCCGGGTGGAGTACTCGATGTCAGGTGTTGCTCGCGTTATCCTGAGTCACAGACGAGCGTCAGTCGGCCCGTCGGCCTAGCCGGCTGGCAGGCTCGCAGGCCGTCAGGGAGTCGATCAGTGGGTTAGAGAGAGGCGTGACGGCGGCTTTCTCGAGCCTGCCGACCGGCTTAGAGCGAGCATCCGTTCAAGCAGACATCGCCAGACCCACTGACAGACCTGTGTACGTGATTTACGCCTGACAAGTGCGGTGGCGGAGGGGGGGCGCGAGTGACTCAACGTGATTTTGATTGTTCGGCATCACTGCTGACGACGCGTCTGTCGCTACCGGTGGTGATAGTCCGATTCATTCCAATTCAATAATTGATCTGTTGAACCACGTTCGAGCAATCACTCCCGCGTGGGTCCAGAAAGAGCCGGGTTCCACCCTTTGATTCTCGGGAGAGGGAGAATGGCAAGGCTTCTCTCGGAAAATGTCTTCGGCCCACCGGCCATCCGGGGCCTTTGGAAAGAATCAGGAGGAATCGTTTCCTCGGCGATCGAAGTAGATGGCCGAACGCGCAAATCTCGAACGGCGTGTTTTTTGTCCTCCATTGAACTCGTCACGACTGGAACCTTCGTCGTAGCTTCCGCCTGCGTCGACGAAACGAGAGAGACAAGTTTATGACCTCGACGACATCCCGGAGGAGTGCGTCTCTATTTTCAGTGTGTAAAACAATTTTGGCAAATTTTAACCCCATCGACCGCCCATCGCCGCCGCGCCAACCCCGCCGTGGGCGCCCCATGCTCGAGACTCGGCTCCACTTGCTCGGATAACTGGAGTGGAGTCAGGCAGCAAAGAAGGCGAGCCAGCAGCGGCCGGCAGTTGGGCGAGCGAGCGAGCGCGCAGACGAACAACTGCTGGAGACTCGCGAAGCCCGGGTGCATAGCAAAGTAGGGTCAATTGAGGAACACAAAATATTTCCCCCGAGGCCCTACTGAAGCAGAGGCGGCGAAAGGCTTGCTCGGAGCTTCGGTCCCACACAAAAATCTCCAACGCGCTCCCCGGAGCTCGTTTGTCTTCCAGTCCTTCACTCGCTGATTGGCGACTGGTGGTTCCCTCGAAATTCCAGCTGTCGGGAATGCTCGCCGGGCATCATCGTCTCGGATTCCGAATTCCTTCCGATTCCCGAATGATTCTAGATCAGAGGGACCATGATCCTTGAATCCACCAGCATTTTCGCCGTTCTTTCGATTATATTCGACACGGAAACGCATCGAGCTCTACGAACAATAAGGGGGAAACGATCCCTATCTCCGTGCGCGACTTCCCCAAGACTCTATACGTCATTTCCCGTCCAGTTAGGTTGCTTGCCGGGAACTCCTGTATTTGCTGGCGCTCCCACTGACGGCATTGGCATCGGTGCCTGAGGAGATTCCGCATCACTTTTGCATTCAAAGATTTGGAGCCCAGAAGGAGCTGGGGGTAGGCGGGAGCTTCTGTACAAATTCATTTGCGGTTTGCGGGCCGTCGATTCGATCTCGAATCAGCAGGTTTTCTCTCGTTCAAACGCTCCGCAGGTTGGCTCCTCTTCGCTCCTCCTCTAAGGCGATTGAAGATCTCTTTCAAGGGATTTGTTGGCAATTTATTTGTCTCACTGCGGCAGAAGATTTTCCAGTCTGTGGAAACGCCAGTCGGGAGCGAATAGAAGCGCCCGGACAAAGCTCCTTAGAGCTGATTTGCTGACACAAGCCCGCCCAGCACGTCAGAGGGAGGACCGTGCTGATCCATTTTTCCTCCTCGTCGTCAATAAATTCCGCGGTCGACGACACGTCGTTGTCATATTCTTCATTATCACGAACGAGGCTGCAGAGAGTAAATCCGTATTTAATATTTAGCGTGCCAATTAATTCATAGCCTCGGGCAGCACTCTAAGCTTATTCGCTGCCGCAGCTTGTTCACTCGTTTATTCACTGATACAAGCCACTCGAAACTTCTGCAAGACATTGAATTCGTCTGCAATCTACGTGAGTAGAACGCTCTCGATGAATGCGATCAGACAGCTACGACAAGAGCGAGTGTATTTTCTCCGGAATTCCGGAATAATGACGACGATATCCATATGGGTAATCGACGTGAGACGAGACCAGGGTTTTTCTGTTTGTTTTCCCTCCTGATGAACCTTGGATCCTACGAAGCTGCTGCGACAGCCGCCTCTCGTTGTTGTCGCCGTCGTTGTTGCTGTCGTCCTTAGAGACGTTGCGGTCGCTTCTACGGCTGGTGTTGTTATGTAGGCGGCTTTCTCACTGTCCTAATAGGATTCGCTGTCAAACCGAGACACTAGATCCCGATGTCCGACGGCTTAGGATGTGCTGGACTAACGGAGGACAAGACAATATGCTCCTTGTTGGCTGCTGTCCCTGTGGCGTTCCTGCCCTAATCCTCTTAAGGAGAGTTCAAATTTATCTTGGCAGCAGCGCTGTTTTGTCGATCATGTCTCCGCGTCAGTTTTCCCTCTTCTAACTTTATTCTCCCGCAGCTGACAGACTGAACTCAGTCGTAGGGCAGGAAGGAACAGAAGCAACAGAAAGATAGCGTTCTCGGGATTCCGCTGCCTTTCTTCGTAGTGAGCGAGACCGAAGCGAGAGCGCGCGTTTCGACCAGTATGTCTTCACCAAGTCGATCGGACGACCTACCACGTCTTCGATAATGCTGGAGGGATTATTTTGATCCCGAATATCTCAGAGCCCCAGAATCAGAACTATTCCCATGAACTTCGGTCCGAATTCGGTTTTGCTGCCCTCTTCTTAATCCCTTCTAGTTCGCTGGTGGTTCGTGGCGAGAGCGCGAAATCACTCGTGCGCCTTTCCTCGTGAACAATCCCAAACAGATCCTCCAGTGACGCCTAGGAGGCACCATATGTCCGAGTCCACTTGTCGGGGCTCGGACCAAAGGATTGGGACAGCTCCGTCAAGACCACTTGAGCAATGGCCGAGAGCACGACTCCGGTCAGAGTATTTGCCTAGATGGTCGACCTGATGGATGTCTTGCGAAGCCTTGCCACCGTTATTCGCCGTTAGATTATCTTGCTGCGGGCTCAGCCGTCGAGTTTTCCCCGAGTTCCGAACGAGGATGACTGGCGGGATTGCTGTTGAAACACCACACGCTGTTCAGGGAGGATACTTCGCGGCTTGAAAAAAATTGGTTTGTCTGAGCGGT